TGCCGGGCAGAGAAAAAGTCCCCCCCCCTGCCAGCAACAGGCTGCCCCCTCCCCTGAGCAACAGGCTGCTGAACAGACAAAAGCAGCCTCTCTGCCCCTCCTCCCCTCTATACATGCCGGGCTCCCGGAGCGCAGCAGCGTCCCCGGGGCTCGCTCACCTGGGTCCTAGAATCCACCTCCTCCTCCTCTTCGGCCGGCTCCAACTGGCCTCTGCCTGCAGCAGCTGGCCACAGGGACAGGGATCCTGCAGAGCTGCCGGGCAGAGGAAAAGTGCCTCCCCACGCCCGCTGCCCCCCTGCCAGCAACAGGCTGCCCCCTCCCCTGAGCAACAGGCTGCCGAACAGCAGACAAAAGCAGCCTCTCCGCCCCTCCTCCCCCTATACATGCTGGGCTCCCTGGGCAAACAAAGACTCCACCAAAACAAACAAAGTGCTGGCCTCATTGTGTTAGCAAAAAAAGGACCCTCCTCCTAGAACCCTGGGTGGTGTGTGGAAATAAAGCTATTAGCTCAAAGCATGGTGCAGAGCTGTTTGGTATTTGATGAGTTACTCCTTTAGTCCTGAGTTTGTCACAGGGACAGAAATAGATGTGAAATCTTCTGAACAGGGGAACAGACAGCAAAACAAACATTAGAGGGGAGTTAACCTTTCCCTATGCTATCCAAAACTAAAAAAAATGTTTGGCGAGAGTTTCCCCTACAATATGTACCAGTTCCGACTTACATACAAATTCAACTTAAGAACAAACCTACAGTCCCTATCTTGTATGTAACCCGGGGACTGCCTGTACAAGCAATACAGCAGGGTTCTCAGGCAGCCTACCTGCTTGCCCCACCCACACACAGGCTGCAGGAGCCGTGCGCATTGGTGAATAAGAGCTTGAGGGAAGGGGGAGTGGTGTTTCCCATGCTGCCTGTTCTTCAAACAGGCAGCTCCCATTAGCCAGAAATCAGCCAATGGGATTGTGCTGAGGGCGAGAGCAGCGCATGGAGCACCACTCCCTGTTCCCCCAGGCTCACAGCTGAGAGAGAGAAAAAGCTGTGGCAGCTACTTTTCTGAGCAGAATAGGCGCAGCGTGGAGCAAGCGGGGAGTGTGCCTGAGGCTCCCCGCTGCATCCACAGGCTGGGTATGATGGCTTGGTGGGCTGGATCCAGCCCCGAGACCGTATTTTGCTCAGCCCTGGTTTAAACCTAAGGTTGAAGCAGTTAACTGATTGACCAGATGAATTTGTAATATGCTAGATATGACATAAATACAGGACTATGTAGCACTTTAAAGACTAACAAGATGGTTATTAGAACTGTTTTTTAATTGCATCCTTTGGTATATATGGTTGTGACAATTTTCTTCCACTATTTGATCTGAGGAAGTGGGTCTGGCCCATGAAAGCTCATCATCTAATAAACCATCTTGTTAGTCTTAAAGTGCTACATAGTCCTGTATTTTGTTTCAGCTACACCTGACTAACACGGCTACATTTCTATCACTATTGACATAAATAGTGAGCCTAACAAATAGAAGGAAGAGGATCAATAAAGGACAAGGATTATAACAAGTTTACATGATTATTCAATTTAGGCTTGTGCACATCTTGAGCAGTAGATTAAAAAATAATTTAAATTATTGTAATTATTTGCAATGCAGAGTGATTTAAATCAAGGTGATTAAAATAATTGGATTATATAAAGTTTCCCCTGATACTTCACATATTTCTTTAAAAAGGGTGCAAATCTGATCACTAAAACGTGCTAATTTACAACTCAGCATAGCATTTTTCAATGTCTAGGAGAATATACTTTGTGTAAATATTTTAGGTAACTTGATTTTTATTAATTTAGGAAATAGTGCCTAATAGTCGTTACCTATGTCAAGCTGCAGGTACAGCAGCAGTACATTAGGGATGATAAGAACTAAATCAAAGACAATAGCACTTTTATTTTATTAAACTAAATGTTACAGAAATGTTTCACATTTGCAGTTTCAGCAGTCTCCCGAGTTGCCAGGTGACAGCTGTCCTTCAACTCTTTTTAGAGTTTGTAAAACTTGAAAAAATTAATTCTCCGAAAACTAAATGTACGGTGTCCTTAAAACGTTTACAACTAGCTCTCATCTTCCCCACTCCCACTTAGTGACTAGTTGAGTACCCGATAAGCAAATGGTTATCAGGTAGTTGCTTTCCCCCTCCCCCTTGCTACCTCTATCAGAGAGAGGTAGCGGGGGGCGAGGGGGAATCACAAATCCGGCTTAAAAGCACCCCCCAGCACCGTCTCTGTGGGGAGGCAGGGGAGGCAGAGGGCAGTGGGAAACGGTCCTGCTTGCACCAGTTCGATTGCTGCGCTTGTACATTTCAAAGGAAGAGAAACAGAGGACTGCTTTGGTCCCTGCTGGCATGGGTTTCCACTGGGTCTCTCCCTTTGAAATATACAAGAGTTGTGGGATAGCAAGCACCTCCCTTATCGAGTAGTTGATGGGAATTCCATCAACTACTCGATTAGCTGATTAATTGGAATTTAAAAAACAACCAGTGCTTTTTTTGTGATGGTATTGCTTGATACGCAGTACCGGCACCTCCAGTCAGAGCTCAACAACTTTTGCCCTGGAGTACTGGCACCTTTTTTTTTTTTTTTAACTAAACAAAAAAAATACTGAAAACAACAAGTACTCTGGTAGCACTTTAAAGACTAACAAAACATATAGATTGTATCATGAGCTTTTTTTTTGTGCCCATGAAAGCTCCTAATACCATCTACATGTTTTGTTAGTCTCATAGACTCATAGACCTTAAGGTCAGAAGGGACCATTATGATCATCTAGTCTGACCCCCTGCACAGTTCAGGCTACAGAATCTCACAAGTCTGGTAGCGCTTTAAAGACTATTTGTTGTTTTTTTAAGTTTTTCGTGTTAAGGACTAACTCGGCTACTCCACTGAAGCTAATTGAAATTTTAACATCCCTACTCCCACTGTCATTTTGATTCATAGACTGAAACAGAAATACGAATTTTTTCCTGCTTTTTCAACTCCCAGTCAATTTCTTAGATATGTGTTAATAATACAAAATTATGAAAATTTTATCTGTGCTTGTGGAGGAAGCTACTGCTCTGAAAAGTTGACAGGCTGCTCCTGGTTATCCAGCTACCCATTCACTTCCCTTGTTTGAGTGCTTGCTGTTCTTTCATTAAGAACTCTTCAGTTAAATGTCCTGCGTCACTACAGACTTCCATTGTGTGTCATTGGGCAAGTCTCAGTTTCCTCTGACTCAGTTTTCCATCTGTTTCCTAGGGATAATAGTACTTATCCATCTCATTGAGGTGTTATGAGGATATTTACATTTAAAAGATTGTGAGGCTGTCAGATATTGTGATATTGGGGTCATATAAGTATGTAAGATAAGTAAATTCCTGCTCTTAGCCATGACCAAAAAGTTAAAGTTCCTTTTGAATTTATAAGACATTTAGCTAATTATGCAGCACAATAAATGGAGTTTGGAGAAGTGAATGGTTGGAGAGGAGACATTTTCACTTTTCAGACTCCAATCAATAATTTTTTTCTATTGTAGGTTTAATAATGTTACAAATGGAGAAAGAACTGAATGAACTTCTTGTGAGGAAAGAACAAGAATGGAAAGAGCTCCAGGCTCGTCAACTCACTTTTCAGAAAACAACATTGCAGGATACCAGAAAGCAGCTCCAGGAAATGCATACAAAATTCAACAGGTTAAAAGAAGATTTCACTTATAATCTGAGAGTTCTCGAAGAGAGAGACAGAGAGCTGGAGCGCTACGATGCCATGTTTACTCAGTTGAAAATGGCTGAAAATGCTAAACAGGTAGAAGTTAGCGATCTTAGGATACAGCTAGATAAACTGCAACAAATGCTTGTCAAGGAAACCCAGAAACAAAAGGATCAGCAGTACAAATATCAACAAAAACTTAAAGAACATCAGTTAGAGCTGGAGCGCCTGCACAGGTAAGAGAGTATAAAGAAAAATCTACTATCTTGGAAAAGTAGACATATAGTCTCCCAGTGATTGTCTGTGTGTCTGATAAAGCAGGATTTTCTTTAACACATTAAAAAAGAAAATATATACAAATCTGACATGCAGATTAAAAACTCCATTGTGGCTGAGCTGTCCTTTGCACAAGAACAGAGTTAGGGTGTGCAAAGGTAGCTTAAGCCATCTTTACAGCATTGATATTCCCTTTCTAGTGGAGGACTTCCAAACCTCTGGCATTAAGTTAGAGAATTGCTCTCAAATGGTGCACTGAATCTCTGAGACAAAAGCTGTGAGATGGGGGCAGGGGAGAGGCTGGCAAAGAAATGGATGGATCTCAGTGTTGATAGAGGAGAAGCTTTTCCTGTGGTCATGTGGGGATTGAGACATTTGTGGTCTGTGAGATCAGTTAGGAAGTGTAGGTAAGTGTGTATATCTTACTATAATTTACAGAGGACGGGTATATTTGTCTACAGTGTGTCATGGGTTAAAAGGGATTCCATCAGTTTACAAGTCATCAGGCCTGTCAACCGGAGATGCAGGAGAGAGGAGCAGTAAAGGGGACAACTGCCCTGGAACCCAGCAATACAAAAGGGCCAGGAGCTGCTGCTACCACCGCTGCTACTACAGCAGTAGTGGTGGTTGGAGCCCCTGGCCCTTTAAATTGCTGCTGGAGCAGTGTGTGCTCCAAGCAGCACTGAGGGCTGCCAAGAGGAGGTGCACCCCTCTCTGTCCCACCCCTTCTGCCTGAGGCCCTATCCTGCGAGGACTAGGGGCCCAGTGAGGCTGTCGGCCCCACAGCAAGTCACATCTTGGCTTGAATCTTTCATTGTTGAAGTAACTCCCAAGTGCTGGCCCTTTAAATTGCTGCTGGAGCAGTGTGTGCTCCAAGCAGCACTGAGGGCTGCCAAGAGGAGGTGCACCCCTCTCTGTCCCACCCCTTCTGCCTGAGGCCCTATCCTGCGAGGACTAGGGGCCCAGTGAGGCTGTCGGCCCCACAGCAAGTCACATCTTGGCTTGAATCTTTCATTGTTGAAGTAACTCCCAAGTGCTACTGTACCATTGTATTCAACAGGATCCACGTGGTCCCTGGAAGTTCCCAATGCAGATACAGTTATAGGAACAGGGCCGTAGAAAGGGTTAGCATAGCCAATTTAGCAATCAAGGACTGATAGGTCAGATACAGACTCAGGTGCTAAGGAACCTTGCACAATGCTTTCAAATGACAAACCTGAGAGTTTAGATTCATAACTTTGCTAGACACTAAAAACTATGGATTTACAGTTTATTACAACAATCTATAATCTACTAACAACCCCTTCCCACCAGCTGCCTTTCCTCCCATGAATGGAGGAATGTTAATGGAACACTTTACTGTGAATAGTCCCGGGAATAGTCCCAGGAAATAAATGGTAACTATTTACGCTAAACAGCCTTTTTCACTTTGTATTTAGTTGTGACACTCTGAGTAGGTTTCCCAGACCTGAAGAAGAGCTCTAAGTAAGCTTGAAAGTTTGTGTCTCTCACCAACAGAATTTGGTCCAATAAAAGATATTACCTCCCCCACCTTGTTTCTCTGAGGCCTTGTCTATGGCTCTTTTGTCCACACAACTGTGTAACTTAGGGCATGTCTAAACTACATCCCTCTTTTGAAAGAGGTATGTAAAGTAGGCAGATCGAAAGTGCAAATGAAGCAGGGATTTAAATATCCTGTGCTTCATTTGCATAACTGCGTCACAGTATTCTTTTGAAAAAGGGTATTTCGAAAGTGAAACCGCCATCTAGACGCGGTTCTTTCAGAAAAAAAACCCTTTTTTGAAAGATCCTGTACTAGATGGCAGTTTCACTTTCAAAATACCCTTTTTCAAAAGAATACTGTGATGCAATTATGCAAATGAAGCACAGGATATTTAAATCCCTGCTTCATTTGCACTTTCGATCTGCCTACTTTACATACCTCTTTCAAAAGAGGGATGTAGTTTAGACATGCCCTAAGTTACACAGTTGTGTGGACAAAAGTCAGTTTTTGTTGACAAAACAGTGGAGAGACACACTCTGCAATACTCTTTCCACCAATTTAACTCTCTTGCTGTGGCAGCATAATAAAACCACCACAATGAGAGGTATTTGAGCTTTTTGCAAAGAAGTTGGAGCAATGCAATGTTATTGTAGACACTGTGCTTACTTTTGCTGGCCTAAGTACTCTCCAGGAAGTGTCCTGCAATGCCCATCATGACTGCTCTAGTCAGCAGTTTCAACTCCTTTGCTCTAGAGCAGGGGTCTCCAAACTTTTCAGCCCGAGGGCCGCATTAACTATCAAACAGCAGTTCGGGGGCCGACTACACACTTGAGGTCCAAATAAAAAACAATCAAAACATGGATGTTGTTTTTAATTATTTATTTAATATTATTTTATTCAGTTATTATTTAATAACACATTCATACACTACACATGAACACCTGTATTAGTGTGAATGGTGAAATTGTTTCCTGGATGCCAAAATAGCAGACATTTCTGGCTTTAGATTTGTTGTCCCTAACATCAACAGTGACCTGAGATTATCATCGGACAAGTTTGTTCTCAAATTGTTCTTCACGTATTTCATTCTTGAAAATGTTTGTTCACACAGGTATGTTGTTCCAAAGATTGAAAGGTACCTTGATGCAAAAGTTTTGACATTAGGAAAGTCTTCCTTGGGCAAAAACTGGTAAAAACCCACCAGTCCTATTTTGAACTTGTCCCTAAGGAGGTCATTTGCTTGCAACTCAATGACTTCCAGCTGCAGTTCATCTGGGCAACTGGCCACATCTGCTTCAAATGGGTTTTGAAACAATCTCACTTCTTCTGCCTTTGAATCCAAAAAGGTCTCCACGGGCCGGATGAGAGGGCCTCGCGGGCCGCATCCGGCCCCCGGGCCGTAGTTTGGAGACCCCTGCTCTAGAGTCAAGTAAATAGGCATGCACCCCTCCCTCATTAAAGCCTTGGGAATTTTTGAAATTATGCTTTCTGTTTGTTCAGCATGGAGAGTTCACATAGCATCTTCCAAGCTGACACATACATTCCCATTTGGAGTATGCCAGCGTTGTTAGGTTTTTGGGGAGAAGAGGCGGTGCAGTCACAGCTCTGATCCAGCCATACAAACTTTGATACCGCTGAGCATATTGTTTGTGGCATTAAAAAGGGCCATGAAAAAAGCCTGTAGTAGTGCCGCGCTAAGATCAGGGACATGAAGCAGGTGCACCAGAAGGCAAGGAAGCCCAGCTGTCGCTCTGCTGCAGTATCAAAGACCTACTGCTTCTGCAAGAAGCTGTACACCATCCTTGGAGATGGCAGGAGTCTTGTGGATACTTCAGGAGAACTGGAGGCAGTGGCCAGTGGAGTCAACTCCAAGGATGAAGTGGTGGATGAGAAGATTGAGTTGGAGAATGTGGGTCAGGTGACATGATTATTTGGTGGTGCGGTGAGCCAGGACCTCTCAAAGTCTCCAGAGGGGTCTAGCCAGTCTCAGCACTCTGGCTTTGACACTCCTGAAGCAAGAGTGGGGAGTTCTAGTAAGTACTCATTTTGCTTTGATACTGCAAGGTGACATGAGGTAGAGGTGTCCTTTAATTAGTTACATGATGCAAGTGGGAGAAGGGCTAGGAATTAACAATACTATGTACTGCTTGCATCTGCTTCTCATTACCTTGCTCAACTGTAGAGAGGAGGCTCTGCAGAAAGGTTTAAGGCATAGCAGGATCTCTTGGGCATAGCATTCCCCCTCTCAAGGGGCATCATGCCAGAGTTCACCCCTCTGTACCAACAGACAGGTGGCCCACAGACCTGCATAGTCCAAAGGTGGTGTGCTGGGGCTTGGTGACTTGAAGTGTAGCTCGCTGGTATCTGGATGTAGACCGCATGTCCAGGGCATGCACCCCACTGGCACTCATAGAATCATAGAATACTAAGACTGGAAGGGACCTCGAGAAGTCATCGAGTCCAGTCCCCTTCCCTCATGGCAGGACCAAGTACTGTCTAGACCATCTCTGATAGACATTTATCTAACCTTCTTTTAAATGTCTCCACAGATGGAGATTCCACAACCTCCCTGGGCAATTTATTCCAGTGTTTAACCACCCTGAAAGTTAGGAACTTTTTCCTAACGTCCAATCTAAACCTTCCTTGCTGCAATTTAAGCCCATTGCTTCTCGTTCTATCCTCAGAGGCCAAGATGAACAATTTTTCTCCCTCCTCCTTATGACACCCTTTTAGATACTTGAAAACTGCTATCATGTCCCCCCTCAATCTTCTCTTTCCTACATTAAACAAACCTAATTTTTTCAGCCTTCCCTCACAGGTCATGTTCTCTAGACCTTGAATCATTCTTGTTGCTCTTCTCTGTACCCTCTCCAGTGTCTCCACATCTTTCTTGAAATGCGGTGCCGAGAACTGGACGCAGTACTCCAACTGAGGCCTAACCAGCGCAGAGTAGAGCGAAAGAATGACTTCTTGTGTCTTGCTCACAACACACCTGTTAATGCATCCCAGAATCATGTTTGCTTTTTTTGCAACAGCCTTACACTGTTGACTCATATTTAGCTTGTGGTCCACTATAACCTCTAGATCTCTTTCTGCCGTACTCCTTCCTAGACAGTCGCTTCCCATTCTGTATGTGTGAAACTGATTGTTCCTTCCTAAGTGGAGCACTTTGCATTTGTCTTTATTAAACTTCATCCTGTTTACCTCAGACCATTTCTCCAATTTGTCCAGATCATTTTGAATTATGACCCTATCCTCCAGAGCAGTCTCAACCCCTCGCAGCTTGGTATCATCTACAAACTTAATAAGCATACTGTCTATGCCAATATCTAAATTATTGATGAAGATATTGAACAGAGCCGGTCCCAAAACAGACCCCTGCGGAACCCCACTTGTTATGCCTTTCCAGCAGGATAGTGAACCATTAATAACTACTCTCTGAATATGGTTATTCAG